ACACCTCCTGCAACAACAAAAAATATCCTTGAAAACTGTAATTTCCCGCATGCAGAATAACTTTGGAATTCGTGAAGAAGTTTGAGAGGGGAAAACACAAGATCACTCGATCACCTACACACTTCTTTAGAACGATTTCATGTGTCCATAAACATCCGAGGTTTGTCCCAATTGAGGGGCAATCATAATTTTTTCTTGAGAAAAGCAGATTTTGACACTACCCATGATGTTGTAAGGTTCCGGCATTTTTTCCGATTTTTAAAAACATTTTTCACTGCGGGATGATAAGTGAAACCTTTCGAGCGACGGCCTGAGTTCTCCATCACCCATGTCACAGGGAGTGAATTATTTTTTCAGACCATATAAAAAATTGAATTTTTAGTTGTTTTCATAACGATCTATTCTAAATTTTAGATAATGGTTAGAATATCAAATAAATTTCAATATTCTGCTGGCCTGACAAATTTTCAGCACCGGCCCAGAGACATTTTTTCGGATTTAAACATTTTTGTTTCAATTTATTGCGTGATGATCACGCCAGCAGAAAGCTGAAATTTTTCCGTCGTTCCAACATTACCAAAAATGTAGAAAAGAAAGCGATTAAAACGAACAAAAATTCAGTTTTGCACGCGGTAAATTGCAAAATGTCTTTCAAAAATCCTGAAAAATCCCAGTACCTTACAATATCATGGATTATATTATAACTTTTTTTTTTACAGCCATACCTTCTCAAGAAATAACCAGAAAGGCGCCCAAGTGGGACAACCCTTGTATGTAAAATTGAAATGCTTTCAATGAAATATACGCACCAGTCGCAGCAGCAGCTTCAGAACCATCTTCATCGACTCTGATGAAAGCCTTGTGATATCCTTCATCAACAAAGAGCTGTTTGTCAGAAATCCCGCTCAAATTTGCCGCATGAGGATTGAAGACGTCTTTTATTCCCATCTGCGAAAGCGACAGACATCTTGGCTTCATTTTGGATTTTCCCCAGGCGAATACATAAAATATGCAACGATTCACTTCCGTTCATTCAAAGATTATAGCGATTGGGTCAATGTTCGAATATCGTTAATTTGTCATTGGATTTCAGGCTTCCGATGCGACAGGAAGTTCGACGAGGTTAAGATTTTATATAGCAGTGATGCTGAGAAGAAAAAATTTCGCCGACTGCTGAAATTGCTTACTTCTTCCAAGATTTTTCGGAGTCCGAATGACGAGACGATTTGAAATTTCGGCACTTTCAGGCGCAATCTTTCTCTGCTTCGGCCACCCCATAAATATTCGTGAAGTATGGTTTCATTGAGGGTTTTTTCAATGTCTTTCAATCCGTATCGTTTCTTTGGCACAATCACCGTCATCCAGAATTCCTCTCCCTTCATAAATAGCCACATACATGGTTAAAATAATAAATTGCGTGAATACGATATACATGGGCGAAGAGAATTCTTTTGAGTTTATTGGTAATTATGGAAAGAAATTTGGGAGAACTCCGATCATTACTCTAATGATCAAGATCAGAAAAAAGCAAGTTACTTCAAAAATTTCTATAAAAATAAATTGAAAAACTGCATTGTCAGGTGTACAAATATTTAGCAGTTAAGTTTCATGAAAGTTGCTTCAAAGGGATGCAAGTACATCCGCAGAGGTTTTAAATTTACAACGTTAATGAATATTTGGCAGAACCAATTTTACATATTTCAGTAATTACACTCAAAGAATGACAATGACAACAACTTTCAGCAGACCAAAGACGCACATATCGGACCTTTAATGGGGATAAAATTCGAAAAAGCAGAAGGAATTTTTCGAAATTTCGAAAAAATCGTCTCGCTCAAACCTGATAAGGTATGTCGACAGCATAAACATCCTCATTCTCCATAGTAAGGAAAAGTCCGTCGAACAGCCTCATCATGTCCACTTGTATGATTTTATTCGGAGAAATGTGGAAGTCTTGCTTTTCTGTATGCGATTTATCAAACGGCTGCTCCCAACTTCCCTTAAAGTGAACAGCATTCGCTAGGACTATCTTCGTGTTTGAATTAATAGACCCTATATATAACAAAGAACACCATATTTCCTCAGTTTCAAACCTATCAATACTATAAATATAAATCTTTTCTACACTTTACCGTTCGGCAGAAGATCTTTGATTTTTCCGTGAGTCCTCTGTTCGATCCAATGGTTGATGTGGCTCCTGGCATCTTCAGAAGAATTAAAATTCAAACTTTCGACATCTGAGTCGTAATCGTCTGTCAACGTTCGTTTAAACGAGTCTTGTATGGCGAAGCCCGATGAGTTGCTGAAGTAAAGTTTTGCAGCGATATCCAGTGAGACGCTTCCTTTTCTAACCTGACACCGAATTAATTCACAGCTATAGAAGCGCATAGGATAAAAATGTTTTGCTTACATTACCTCGATTTTATCAACGACAGATTTGAACGCTTTGCGAATTTTCTCATCGTCTAATCCGAGACCCAAGGCTGAGCGAAGTTGCGACGTAGAATTCGCTCGAGCACCTTCGTTCAGCATCGTTAATGCCAACGAAATACTCAATGGGGAAAAAAATACATTTCCCTGTGTTTTTTTCTCCAGCAATTGCTAAATGTATTTTTTAAAAACCATTGTTCAATATTACATGAAGCAAAAATTACGAAAAATGCAACACTTACCGAATAGATATCCGCCGCAAACTTGAGACTAGTGAGTTGAACTTGTTCTGTTTTCAAAGAACTCGATCCAGAAGCAAAACATATCACGACAAGAAGAACACAAAAATTCAAAATCGCCATTCCTCTGTTCGAAAGGAAAAAAATTCAAAACACGGAGCGCATTGACAAATAACATCAGCTTATAATGGACGCAATGAAGATCAAAATTCAGTTGGGGAAAAAATATTTTCGAATCACCATGCAAATAGCACATCATAGTCCTTCGAATCGCTCCGAAAATACCCAAAAACAAATCTCCAAATTTTGAATGCAAGAAATTTCAAATTACTTCAAACTGAACCGATTTTGGCGATCGATTTACAATCTTCGAGTATATCTTACTATCGTACATCAGCGTATTCTTCATAAAGTGAGTTACGTGATGATCGAAGCTATTCTGCCTCATAATTTATATTGCACGAAATCATAAATGGACTTTAAAATTTAGCACAACTTGGCGAGGCCCATGTGACAACAAAGAACACAGAATCCGGAGGTTTCGAGGTTTTAAATTAAAAAGTTGTAGAAGAAAAAACATTTCGACCCAAGTGCGCTGTGTTTTTCATTCGCAGAACAATTTCAGCACCAGTCAAAAATTGATCATGAAAGAAGCCAAATCCGTGATTTAAAGTTTATCAAATCGAATAATCTGGCTTATTCGTCAAATGCTTGTATTCAAATCCGGTGACTTGAAAAAAATTTCGTAATTTCCAATCACTTCTTGTGTTCATACCGAGTCAAATAAAGCCCCGCAATGCAATTTCAACCTTGTTCAAAAACTCAAAAAAAAAGATCTGACCCATACCAAGTATATAGTGCATCAGTATGTAAGTCGATTAGTTCGGCTTTTTCCCGTCGACACGTGCGGGAATCGCAGGGGTTCTTGGCGCGGATTTTCCCGGTGTCTTTTTGTCGTGAATGCCGGGAGCGCTGAGTCGACCGAAGAATATCGGCTCTTGAATGTCTTTGTGCTTGATTGCGATAAGCGAAGGTTGATCCACGTTAATCTCGAGGGGTTGCGAAAAATCCAGGATTGCCGACAACGGCACCAGGGTCAGAACTTTCGGGAGAAAAATGAAAACAAAAGCTGCTCACGGCCACATTTTTTATACTCCAACGAAAAGCCTTACGCCCCGGGGCTTTCTTTTGGAAAGCCATGATTCTCGGAAAAATATGAATTCTCGTGCTTTTTTTGTATAGAAAAGTTATAATTTCGTATTTTCCTCAACCAAAAAAACTGTCCTCAACCACAAAAACTGTCATACGCCATATGCTTCCGCATTTATACACGCCTTCAACGATTTGAAATTTTGACAATACTGTTCAAATGATGATTGCTCAGATGATTGCTATTCGGTTGAGGCATTTTATGTTTCACGAACGACTTTTACATGCTTCTTCAGCACCCTTCTTCGTTAAATGCTTCCGCATTTAGACATGCCATTATCGATTCGAATTTTTGACAAAAATGTACAAATCTCAGATGATTTGGGATTCTTTTGATGCATATTATGCTTTAAGCGAAAAAAATTGTACCTGTTGCTGCAGCAGCTTCAGCGCCCTCTTCGTTGACCTCGATAAAGGCCTTGTGAAATCCTTCATCCACGAACAGTGGGTCGCTCGAAATCCCGCTCAAGTCTGCCGACGACGGATTAAACACATCGGAAATTCCAATCTGCAGATTTAAAATTCACAGTTTCCCTCGTAAACAATGCGCCAATGTGTTCTCGTAAATTCATCGATCCGAACCTCGGGCAAAAATTTTCGTAGACCGAAAGACGATTCAATCTTGAACTTCGGCATCATCAAACGAACTCTTCGACTTCTCCTTCGTCCACCCCACAAATACTCGTGCAAAAGTGTGTCGTTCAGCTTGTTTTCGATGTCCAACAAACCATCTCGTTCCTTAGGAACAACTATCGTCAGGAAAACTTTTTCTCCCTGGAAAAGAAAAGCCAGAAAACGTTTTCGAATCTCATTAAAAAAAACCACACATCTTAAAAGAAAGTAATACGGCTTTTAAAATGAAACTGCAGATTTGAAGTGGTTAACAAAAATTATCGTTTGAAAATTTTGATATTAAATATCTTAAAATTTTAAAGAAAAACTTTCCCATACTTCGTACGGAAGATCAATTGCGTAAGCGTCCTCCATTTCCACCACGAAGAATTCATCCATGATCCTCATCATATCAACGGTGATCGTTTGCAAAGGAGAGACGTGAAAATTCCCTTTCGTGGTCACGGCTTTCTCAAACTTTTGCGCCCATTCGCCTTTGAAATAAACTGCATTCGCCAAAACCAGCTTCGTTTCCTCATTTACCGAGCCTGGAAACGCGTTGGATTTCATGATCAATGTGAATATTGGAGTATTAACAGAAGAAATGAGGAGGTTCTTTTCATTCTTTCATGCGAAAAAGAATCCTATTCCCCGCAAAACTCACCGAACCTCATCTCAAAACTTTAAAAATAGAAATACTGTAATTAACTAACCAGGTCAAAGGAAAATTCTTCCAATTTAATCTATGTTTACCATACAGTAGTGATTCCCTGCATAACGAAAATCAGTTCCTTGCTTGGCGCGTTTCGTTATGCAAAACGCAATCTCCCCGAAGACTGCATTGTAGATTATTTAATCCTTGCCGGACACTCACCGAAAACACAAAAATAATCCATTGAAATTGCCCAATTTTGTATACCNAGCAGCAGTTCTATAGACGTGAAGGTTGTAATACACTATGAAACAAGCACTGTTTATATTTCAATTTTATATATAGAAATCTTCATAGTTTATAGCAGCAGTTTTTTAGGAAAATATTAACAGGAAATGCAATCTACCTATTTACGAAAAAAATCTCGCTGGGAGTGCAGCAGAAGTTCACCAATAATATGTATTTAAAAATCAGCAGGAAAAAAGAAGTATGGTAACTCTGCCTGTGGCTGGCCCCCATTGTGGTGGTCAACATTCCCGGACAGCTTAAGCCGGCTTAAACCTCTCGCGTCGTTTTCTCCTGGTTGATCTTCCGTACGCCCATTTTTTATACTCCAACGAAAAGCCTTACGCCCCGGGGCTTTCTTTTAGAAAGCCATGATTCTCGGAAAAATATGAATTCTCGTGCTTTTTTTGTATGGAAAAGTTATAATTTCGTATTTTCCTCAACCACAAAAACTGTCATACGTCATATGCTTCCGCAATCATACACACCTTTAACGATTTGAAATTTTGACAATACTGTTCAAATCGCAGATGATTGCTATTCGGTTGAGGCATTATATGTTTCACGAACGACTTTTACATGCTTCTTCAGCGCCCTTCTTCGTTAAATGCTTCCGCATTTAGACATGCCATTATCGATTCGAATTTTTGACAAAAAGCGAAAAAATTGTACCTGTTGCTGCAGCAGCTTCAGCGCCCTCTTCGTTGACCTCGATAAAGGCCTTGTGAAATCCTTCATCCACGAACAGTGGGTCGCTCGAAATCCCGCTCAAGTCTGCCGACGACGG